GAGCTGCTTGGGTTTCAGCGGCAAGGGCAGGGCAGGGGGGCCTAATATACGGGCCTATAATAGATAATTGCCTGTACTGTTTTTCGGGGGTTCCTTATTATAGTTATACCATAAAGAACCCCAAAACCCTATTCTAATTATTAACGCTCCGACATTGAGGGCAGTGCAGGGGGGGCCTCATCAAGGCTCTGGATTTGCAAGCTACTTGGGTGCCCCGCCACCCTTGACCCTAAGCCCTAAACCTGAATCATGAAGTTAGCATCGTTCATGCACCCTGAACCGAAAAACCTGGACTTTGAATGCCCGCAGCCTCCACAGAATGCACCACTGCACTACCAAGCCGAAGCCCAACAGAAACATCAACCATGCAGAGATCCAAGATTATCCAAACCTGAACCCCAACCCTGAAAACCCCTGAACCCACATGCTTCATTGATCGCAAACCTCAGTTCTCTACCGTCAATAACTTCTGGGTCTGCGGCTCTGACGCAGCACTTCTGAGATGTGAGCAAGGTGCTCTTCCGGAGGTGACCTTGGCCAGTCGTGCTTCCTTTGATATTCTTCCGGGTGCTGTCGGGGGGCTGCGGATTTCAAGGCCCTAAAACCCTAAACCCTCAAACCTAAAACCTAATCCCTAAACCCCTTATATGTGGCTTCGAACGTCGGGTGTTGAAAAGGTGCAGGATTCATCAGGCCAGAGACCTAAACCCAATATAGCACGGCACCCTTATAAAAAGGACGCGAAAGGGGACCTTAATTTAGAGAATTACCCATGTCGCACTCAAACGCATGTGCACGACCCTGTCGTCATAGATCAAACTTAAGCAACAGTTGATCTTGGCAAACTCCGTCCAAATCACCAGATCCTGACGGAGGGCATCAAAGCTGAGCCTTCAATCCGTAGTGAAGAGAGGTGCGGCGCTACAAGTAGCAGAAAGCATGGCAAGTACGATCAAGATACTCTCACTAGTCCTTGGCCCCAAGCTTTATCCTAAACACGAAACCCTAAAACCCAAACCCAAGCTTTAAAAAACGATCCTAAACCGAAAACCTTAACCCCAAGCTTTAAAAAACTATCCTAAACCCAAAACCCAAGCCCCAAGCTTTAAAACCGATCCTACACCCAAAACCCTACACAATTCTAAAGGCATCCATGGCCAAAAAGCCTTAAACTCCTGGCTCTGCTGCCCGGAGGCTCCGGAGATCGCCCGGCATCGCGCGCAGGGGACGACAGCGCCATGGCCGCCCTTGAACCCAGAGACTCCAATACCCCTTAATTAAGGAATATACCTTAAACTATCATAGGAACCCTAATATATATATATATATATATATATATATATGTCCCTTAATTAAGGAATATAGCTTAAATCATATTAGGGCTCCCTACTATAATTTAAAGTATATTCCTTAATTAAAGGGGTACTGGAGTCTCTGGGAACTAAATCCTTCTTCGGCGTTGTCCAGTTGAGGATCGGGAGAGTTAACGACGGCTCTGAAGCCTTAAGCCCTGATTCAAAAGAACTCTGGGCGAGCTCGGCATGATTGGAGCCTGAGAGTGAGTAGAATCTGCATAAGGCTTGCTATTTTTTGTGCAGAATGGCGCACATCAAGATATGGAGCGTAGACATGCCACAAGGTTGTTCTTTGAGACCTCTTCAAGCTATCCATTTAGACGCAAAGCTGTCTCCGCTTGAACATCAATGCATGATTTACCAGGCAAGGCTTCTGCCAAGTTGGGCGAGGTCTGTGGTCTGATAAAGGTTGTAGCGGGGTGGATCTCAAAAGCACAGCGACGGTGAGACAAGTGATCCATTTTTCTGGCGTTTCAGGGTCGCAGCAATCTGCGACGTTGTCACACACATGCGAAGCAATGAACATGGAAACATGCACCGGTGGGCCGGGCCGGACAATGGCGAATCAGAATGACTGGCATCGTGCATGTAGGGTCTTCAGCAAGTCAACATCCAAAAACAGGCGGCTGTAGCTCTGAAGGGCTGAGTCCATTACCGCACGCAGTTTGCCCCAGTAGGCAGGAGTTACTACGCATTCCGTCTTTGGAGCACCCAAAGGACCGATAGTATTGGCCCTCAAACTCGAGGCTAAAGGTCTTTTGGGGGGATGGATGCTTGCAGAAGGGTAGTTCTCTAAATTAGGGTCCATTTTGGGGTCCCCAATATAGTACGGCACCCTTATAATAAGGACCCCAAAAGGGACCCTAATTTAGAAAACTACCCAGAAGCGCAGTTGTCCCACCTGGCCCCCAGTTGCAGGTGCGAGCAGCCCGAAAGTGACTGAGCAGTGCGTGGCAGGCGAGGCTCGGTGTGCCAGCTTAAAGCGGCCACGCGGAAAAGCTCACAGCCGAGGCACCCAGCTTGGTTTAGGGTTTAATTCATACTAACACTAAGACTATTGTATTGCCATTAATGTCAATATTAGTATTAGTATTCATGTCAATACTAATATCCATGTAGCCAGCGAAGGCCCTTTGGGGGAGTGCAACCCCCCAATCTCCAATACAGACAACAAACCAACCAAATCGGAAGCCGGCGACACTACGCCAGCCGTTTTGCTGTGCTGTGGGACGGTTTGTTTCGGGATTTATGGAACTACTTCGTCGATTCGTTTATCTTTGACTATGCCGACAAACCCGTCTACCCTGAATCCTGTCTAGCTTATCGAGGCTTCTGGCCTCCGTCTCTTCCCGGGCAGGGATTGCACCCGAATCGTGCAGTGCTCAAGGCTTCAGGAGTTCATGGTTCGGGTTTGAGGGCTTCCTGAACTCTAAAGAATCTGCCTTCTAGGGTTTAGGGTTTAGGGGTTTAGGGGTTTAGGGGTTTAGGGTTTAGGGTTCTTCATTCTGAGCTGCTTATGTAGGTGCTAAAAGAGTAAGTTCTTTAGGGTCCAGCTTGAGCGTAAGAGCTTATGCATTGGTTGGAAACATGGTCGGATTCGCTAGAGCCCGCTACCCTAAAGTCTGAAGCCCCCATACCCTAAAAGCTACACCCTGCCCAAAAATGCGATAAAGCGTCTACCCTGAACCACACAAGCCCTAAAATCGAAACCTGCTAAGCAGAGCTCTCATAAACCGGTACATAGGCAAAGACAAAGACAACATTCTCCTAATATGCGGTACTAGGGAGTTTATAGAGCGGAGAGTTTGGGAGCTCCAGGAAAGGCACTGATGGCATCCATGCTGGGGTCTCTTGTGCAAAATTCTGAGGCTGGCAGCCAGCTGTAGGCCAAACTCCAAAGTCTGCTGCCCAAGCCGGCTACACAACCAAAGCCGCATTCGACTTTATCTCGACTTGAGAGCGCCAGAGACATACATATACATATACATATGGGTGTACATATACGCACACGTATATATATATATATATATACACACATGTATATGTAACTCTAAAAAACATGAAGACACACACGCACACATTGGGATGCAAAGCCATACGAGTCCGTTTTGGGTTTGTACAACAACACGCATCGATCGTGTTGACCGTATGTGCCTGCTGCATAAGTCTACTGCATGTATAGGTATGTACCGATAAAGATGGTAGCTGCCAAAATTTGTTACATAAATATGTATAGTGTTTGTACATACATATAGATACATATATATATATATACATATCCGGAGATGGGTACACACATACACATGCACACATATCCATCCATTCGTCCATCCATCTGTATATACCTACGTACCTACACATCTACAAACATACCTATCGACCGACCTACCTACCTACATACATGCCTAGGCCTAGACACAGGCATACATATGTAAATTCACACCTACCCAAATAGTTCATAATTACATAGGTGCATGCATACAGATAGACACAAGTACATGTAGACATGCATTCATTTGTTCATTCATCCGTTCATCCATTAATACATACGTTCGCAGACACAGACATACGTAGGGCAAGTGTACATATGTGCTCACACGCATTGTATACATATATGCATGCACACATACATACATATATGCATGCAGGCATGCATACATACATGCATACATACATACATACATACATGCACACATACATGTGCGCAAACATACATACATACATACATACATACATACATACATACATACATACATACATACATGTGCGCATACATACATACATACATGCATACATACATACATGCATACATACATGCATACATACATACATGTATACACACACACATACATACATGTGTACAAACGTGCACGCGCATATGCATGCATCGTGCAGTAAGGCATGCATACTGCATGCATACATATATATATATATACACATACATACATGCATGCATATCTACATATGAAAATGCGTACTTGCCTACCTACCTGCCTACCTACCTACCTACCTACCTACCTGCCTACCTGCCTATGTACCTGCTTGCATGCGTACACTCTTACATACACATGCACAAGCTTAAGCTTTAGCAGGGTCGAACATGCGCTTCGTTTAGTATATATGTACGTACACTTGTATACATGTATACATGTATACATATCGTGTACATTTACATACATGCAATATGTCTATAGGTATATACACATTGATTATATTGATTGTTGTTAGGTACCTTCAAGTGCCCCTGTGTGGCTTGGGCACCACATGAGTTCAAACTTGTCATGCCTGTCTCTGTCTGTCTATCTGTCCGTCTGTATATATGTATGCACGCTCAGTCAGACTTGACAGCATTGAAAGCGCCGAGAACCGAGAACCACACATGTCTGTATGCGTGTGTGAATGAGTATACTGGAACCCATTAACTTCCAAAAGCCGTCCACGTCTCTGGGGCCTGCTCGTGGTGCATGGAACCTCGCATTACATGGTTGTCGAGATCGGAGGAAGATCCCAATGTATCAATATCAACTGCTGCTTTTCTAATCTGGTACAGAGTGGAAAAGCCCAACATCCCACTTCCTACCTTGTCCTGCTAGAAGATTTATTTCAGTCCATGGGCTCTTCCTCGTGCAATTTGACATCCCTGGCTCAGCGCGGATCGGGCGCAGTGGCCAGGCACCCAGCGGCCGTCAGGACCCAGCCTACCTGGTGATCAGGTGCAAGCAATACCGAGATGGATATGTATACGACGTATGTATGTATATGTGTATATGTATCTACATGTATATGTGGTGACCCGAGGCGAGCATATATAGATATAGAGAGAGGGGGGGCGCTGGTGTTCCCTCAAATTTTATAAACCCACAACGTACTCAGCACCCAAAAAACTGACTGCTTGGGCAACTCGGCTCCTATAGTGCAAGACCAGATCGGGGGTTTCTGCAGTGCCGTTTCAGTGGCTTCTGTAGGGTGTTCGGGTTTAGGGTTTAGTGGTTTAGGCTTGCCCTTACACTGGGCCTCAGTCGAGTGTAGCTGGTAAGCAGCAACACTGTCAAGCCCCAAAAATGCTGCAGTCAGTCGCCATAAAATCAAAGCATGAAGGACCGCGGTGGTACTCGGAGGCGTCGCAACATTTCCGAACAGATACTTGTGCCCACAGCACCAGGATAAAAATCTGGCAATGTCAGCCTTACAGTGCCATCTTGCCCTAGGTGGGTACAGACTGCTCAACCTACTTTGACTCCACGCCCGATTGCCGGATGAACTTAATCTTTGACCGACTTTGACCCATTACAAGGGCTCCTCCCACTCACGAGTTGTGTCGCGACTTGAACCATCCTCCTGAATGAGTTGTGCCCTCACCATCACTGCAACTCAAAATACCCGGATCTGAAGACTCTAGTGCGACTGAAACCCTCAACCCCCCGTGCTTCCAAGCCCCCTGAACACGAAACCCTACTGAACCCTATAAAGCTTAAAGCCCTGAGCATGAGGATGGAACCCGAAGCGTTTCGACCATCGCAAGTTCTCCGGCTCTTGATTTTGCTAAGCTCTTGTCATATGCCCCCAAAAAGAAATCGTAAGGCACTCAAGGATTGGACCTCGAGCTTAATTGTTGACGTCGGCTGCAGTCAGCCTCCGCCAAATGAGCCCTTCCTTCTTTAGATGGAGGTTTCCGAAAATAGGGGACCTTAATATAGTACCCTAAATAGTAGGATCCTTCTTATAAGGACCCCAAAATAAGGTAGCCCTTGTTTTCGGACACCCTCAAATATGTCTATTTAAAGCCACCTGCATCCACTCTCTGGCCCGTACCTTGCTGGAAAGGAAGCTTCCAGACATCACAGTCGCACGCGAGGTCGACCCAGCTACGTCTGCTTCCAACCTCGGATTCGGCGGTGCTACGGCAAGTTCTCCCTGTCTTCGTCTGTGTGTCCCTTTCTCTCTTGTGCTCTTTCTTCCGGCTCTCGCATATCTCTGTCTCTCTCCCTCTCGCTCTCGCCGTCTTCTCCTTCTCTCGCGATTCGATGATGCTTCCTCTCTGTCCTTCGCTCCCCTCGTCGCTCGCAGTTCAGCTGTAACTGTTTGGTGATGCCGTATTTCTGTATTTCTGTTTGAGCACACAGGCAGCAGTGACGTGATGAGAGTCGGATATGAGTCCTCCCGGTCCTTGCAGGCAAGATCTACTTCGACAACATAGCAGCGGGATCCAGGAGTCTACTCCTGAGTTAAGCTGCTCCTCGGATATTCCTTCTACCATGTTTTGGCTCTCTTATCTAACAAGAACCCAATGGCACACCGACTCAGCACACTACAAGGACACAATGTTACAGGAGCAGGACCACCCGACTCCTTCCAACCACCACCACCAACAACAACAACAACCGGTACTACTAGTAATACTACTACTAGTAGTAGTACTAGTACTACTACTACTCCTCCTACTACTAGTGTTACTGCTATAATACTACTACTACTACTACTACTACTACTACTACTACTACTACTACTACCATCACTACCACTACCACGCCACTACCACGACTACTACCACTACCACTACCACTACGACTACGACTACCACTACCACTACCACTACCACTTGCACGACGACGACAACAACAACAACGACGACGACGACTACTACTCACTACTCACTACAATCACTGCAGTTACAAGAACTACAACTACTGATAACTACGACGACGGCGACCACTCCTACGACTACGGCTGCCACATGATACATGAAAAACAAGATCCATGCCAACAGCCATACTCAGGGGCTAATTAGCGTCTTCAAGAGGAGCAAGAGCGACAATATTATCATGATGTTCAAGTCGAAGAGCTCTGATGAAGACTCTGTTGTGGAGCCTGTGGACTGCGCCGTGGTGGACTGGTCGTCCACGAGCTGAAGGGTCGTGGACGCGGAACCCGTGGACTGCAAGGTCGTGGACGTATCGCCGGCGGGCTGGGAAGTCGTGGATGTGGAGCCCGTGGACTGGGAGGTCGTGGTTGTTGTGGATGTTGTGGCATCTGTTTGCGACCTCGGATTGAGAATGGTTCTCGCCCTGTCCGCGTTTCTTTGTCTGCTTCTCCGTTTGTTTCTCGCCTTCTCTCACTTCAAACTTCAAACCGTTCGCAGCCGCCC